CTCGAATTAGCCGGCAGCCGATTTGTTAGCCGTTTTACAAAAAAAAGTTAGTCGTCTTTAGCCGATTTCGCTATTTGCCGTAATTTAGTAAAATTTAAATATATGTACATATAAGTTTCCATTTTTACATATTTGGCGACCTAATATCTATTAGAAACTATCTATCTATTAGAAAATTGAGAGAATTTTCTCTAATACGAAAAGTCTTAAAATACTGTGTCGATTTCAATGATTTTTATTTTATGTGAATATACAGTGACCCAAATAGAACTGAGTCGCGATATTTCAGCTTATTATTTTTTTATGAAAGCATAGCTGATTACTTACAAACACCATTTAAATCCAAATTTCATATTTTATGCAAAAAATATGAAAACTCTGCATTTTTTTATTTAAAATTTTAGTATATTAAAGTGCAAATTTAAGGTAGCTGGCACTTACCGTTGAATATTGACAATTTTTTGTTGAAGGTGTTCCGCATTTTTCTCCATATAAAAAATTTTAGAACACACTTTTTATGGACAAAAATCGTAACACCGTTATAAAAAAAAATTACAAAAATCAACGGCAAGTCCTAGCTACTTAAAATTTTCACCATATTATACTAAATTTTAATGGACTACAAAACTGCATACATTCCATTATTTAAATATGTATGCTGTTAAAAAGTTAAATTTGCTTCGTGTTTGTTGAGTATTCATCTAGATTTTCACAAAAAATAATAAACATTAAATAAACTAAATAAAAATAGTAAAACTCTTTTGCTCTGAGACAGGCATGTGAGAAAGTGAATAGGACATTAAAAACAGGAGTTTCGAATATATAGACGTCCAATTAGAATTGAATAATAGAATTGTTAAAAACTTAAAAAGCGACCGGCTTATTCGATATAAATTAGTGGCGTATTCTTTTTTCGAAATAATGTTGGCCTGTTTTCCTCAACCCTTTCACAGCTTCACGTGTTCATTTCTCCAAATATTGCCCTCCGACTAGGTAAAGTACTTTAATATTAATATAGCTATTTTTCAGGACGAAAAGTAACCTAGCGCAAATGTTACAATGTAAAGCAAAATTTTTTAATAAAAAAGAAAACGCCTTAAATTTGTAATTGATCTCTTGTTTATATTTATATAAGTAATACAAACATGACTTTTGATGAACGTATAACGACAGTTTCTTTTGTCAAACAAAAATAATTTGTAATGAATTTACCGGTCTCTGTTTCTGTCATTTATTTAACGAGTGCTGCAAAGCTTTGGTAAGTATAACCTTTGTTAACTAAAAAAAAAAAAATAATGATTTTACTATTCTTTCTACTTGCGATTTCTTTAAATAAATAATTTTAATTGAAACATTTTAGCCGTTTTTATCCGCTTTTTTTTGCCAATATAGCCAGTCGGCCAAAAAATTTCTGGCAACACTGGTAGTATGTGATAGTGCGGATTTGTCAGCTTTTGCACTGCCGCAACGACTGGTTTCTGCCTCGAAATATATTTACCTGCCATAAAATAGCGTAGCACTATTTTAGCCTGCATTCGAATTTTACTCATCATTTGAATTGAACAGTCGCTTGGATTATTCACCACCGACCAGTCGTTTTGCAGTAAATGCAGTGAGCCGACACGCACGACGAATACTAAGTAGTCAATGAGCTGACTGTGCAAAGAACCGAAAATGGATGTGTGCGCGCATTTGCGTGCTGGGCAAGCTAATTTTACTCATCGTTGTGGAGTTGAAAAACACCCCTATGAACTCTGAAAGTCTATGCGATTGCTTTCTACTCAGAAAATGCTACATGTAAGTATCGTAAAGAATTAGAATAGCACTCTTAAGAGCAAAGAGAACCAATACAATAAGCCTACACACACACAATCTACATTACGTATATCCAAAACGGCAAAATTGTTCTTTCTATTAGAAAATGCGATAGCCAACTGAATCCCTGTTTGCTTCGAAACTTTGCGACTCGAACATTTCTCGTTTACAGGTAAGCGCCCAATCTAAAACCATTTTTTTAACCTGCAGAGTATTCGCCTGGAAAACTTTGGTATACACTGTCTTTTCTGCATCCCTAGAGGTACCGCAGAAATCGCAATACAGAATTCTTAACCTTTCCATCTTTGTTGGCATAGGGTGGTGTCGGGAGTTTTATAAAATCTACACCATTTTGAAAATATTAAATACCCAGTCACTTCTGTAAGCGAAGGGGAAAATCAGACAGAAGCAACTACATATGTAATAGATAGTATGTAGTAATAATAGAGAAGGAAAATATTTTTTTTGGATTCAAATAAAAAATAAAAATATGGCAGGGCTGAAACTGACCAAAACAAGAAGACAAACAAACCGCAGTCTGAAATTTGCGGTCATTCTTGTTATGTATTTGTGTAGCGTAGCGATGCGAAATGTGATGACCACCACCATCAACCACCACCACCTTACCAACTCGCTGCTTGGTTTTTATGGCAAATTGTGCAATTTGTTCGAAAAGTCAATGTATTCTGTTGCAGATGTATGAGTGTGTAAGCCTACCCTGCAGGAAATGTATCTAACTAAAAGTTAACTTGAAGTTTATTAGGAAGGAACTAAAGGTCACTATTTATTTTCTGTATATTTTCCTTGAGGAAAGCTAAATATAAACATTTATATCGCGATGGCCGCATTAGAGTGGTTAACTATGCATTAGACGTCAACTAGGGATGCCTAAATATGAGGAAAATTGTGATCCCGGGATTTCGGGATATTTTTTCAGTAATCCCGGAATCCCGGGATTCACATTGAGTTATAACTTTTATCGATATGGGTAAAAACTTAATATCTGAAAGAATTTAAACATGCCATGAAATAAAACTATTTCATACTTCGTATGAAGGAAAATGACTGGCACTGTCAACAAAACAAAACATTTCACATATCAACGGTAAGTCCTAGCTACTTCAAGCTTGAACTTTGTGACACTAAAATAAAAAAAATAAGGGTTACAGCAAAAGTTTACCATTCTGCTACTAAAAGGAGGAAATAGTACGAAAAAAATACTCCATTTCGCTACTAAAGGAACAAGTAGTAACTTATATTCACAAGCCAACCCTTTTTTTATCAGTGATTCCGTCTCGGCGGTCTGGTAAAATTAAAACGATTGGTCATGCGGTTCAGTTAAATTTTTCGACTCTTCGACTAACACGAAATTCACAACAAGTTTTCTTGACATTTAAATTCATAGTGAGGAGAAAATTGACTGTTCAACCCTTATGAAAAAAAAAAACATTTTTCAAAATAGGTTAATAATTTTATTTCAGTAAAATTGTGGTTGTACCCATCCATACATCTGTGGCTACAAATTTGCGCAAGTCTTCCCGTGTCAGTGGCTTCAAGCTAATGCTCGTTTTCATCTCTGCGCAGATTGAAAACTTATCTACGAAGTAAAACAGGCGAAGATCGATTGAGCAGGCTAGCGTTGTTGAATGTGCACCGAGACGTGGAAGTATCGAACGAAAATGTTATCGACATTATGTCAAAAAAAATATATAAAATAAAACATTGTTAAATATTGTGACAAATTCATTTAATAAAAATACAAATCGGTATGAGATTCATTGGAAAGGTATTACCTCACAGGTGGTCATATTAATTTGGTTTAAATCCGATCATCCGATCATAAATAAATTAACGATAATGTTAAATTTTTATATGAGAATTGAAGCCGGTTTTGTTTTTTGCTAAAAACTTACTTGTTGTGTTTCAAATTTGGCAAAACGATAAATTTTGTACACAGACGTCGCTTATTGTGAATGGTTGGAAACTGTCCAAATCGTGCTAGTTCTGAACCAGAAATAATTTCTCTTCCAATAAATAGACATTTCCTGCTGGGCAGACGATGCTTCCATGTTCATAGTGCGCTTATTTATCTTTGGTTTAGTTGGTATCAAATTCTACCCCTTCTGCCTTGGCGAGTTCTTTGTTTTCTAAGACGTATGTACGTGTTCGCAATAAAAAATGACAAGTGTCTGTTCTTGGCTGAAAAGTTTGTGCAAACAGCCAGCATCCCTCTGGCAAACTTTTTGTAATTTTCACTTAAATTACTTTTATCAAAATTAGTGTAATGGGTTGTTACTTTTATTACTTTTACTTCTTAACTAGCACAAAAATAATTTTTATCGATTAACCTGAAAAAATATTCAGAAAACGCTTACGTACACATAATTCGCAAATAAATATTGGCTTACGGCGTGCATGCTTCCTGCCCACTGCGCCTCAGCTCAACATGGGTACATATATGTAGAATACGAAAATTTTGTCCCGCTTTTCCTTGCCTTTAGCATTTCCTATTTTCGAAAAAGTATGCCAGTCGGTTTGAGGCAAACTACTATTCACTGCGGTGAATACACCAACCCCCCTTCGACCGAGATGGTGCCTCAAAGCCAATCCAAACAATTCAACCACTTGAAGCCACCTCTATAGTTTTCAGACCTCTACCTCTACTCCCCCGTCGCAGTTTTCGTCGCCACAGTTACACTTGCGCTCATTATGCAGTTTTCTCGCCGCTAATTGCATATTTAATTAATTTCGTTCGTCGCTTTGCCAGTGTGTTCATGGTGTTCATGTGTGTGTGGTAGCGTTAGCGGCAGAGGCAGTAGGCAGAGCTACTTGTGAAGTATTTAAGTAAGCAACGAATATTGCATGCAAAATCGCGCAAACAATAACAACACCGCCATGTACAGAAAATTTGTTATTTATTTTCTAATTTTAACAGCACAGAATTGCATTTGCATACATTTTCACTTTTACTTATAATGGATTATTCCTATTTCCAATCCGCTCAGGCTGCTTTTCTTTATAGATCACGAAAGCGAAAATACACCATTATTATGGAAATTTTATGAGCAGCTTAAGCCTAATTTATTTCGTCATAGAATTTCAACAGTATAACTTTATTGCTAAAATGGCTACGAACAATCGCATAAACATTAAATAGATAAAAAAAAACAAATTTGGCCGCCGTATATTGCTCGAATTTGGACTAAACCTGAAATTGTAATTTTAAACCATTTTCAAACTTAATAGCTGCCGTGGTGATCATAAGCGTGGTGGTACACCTGTGGGTGGTGAGCATGGCCAATTCTCTTTACAACAGCGTTGAAGCCATTATGGTCATCGGCTGTGTATTCCACAACGCGGGTAGTGCCATCAGCTTCGGCCAGAGTGTAGCCACCTAAAATGATTAAATGTATCAGGAGGTATTCTTGATTATATAGCGACATAGGATTTTGATTACCCTTAACATGGTCGCCATCACGTTGCTCCCATTGACTCTTATGATCGCCAGTGTGCGCGTCCTTAACGCCATAATCGAATGTATACTTGGGGTAGTGCTGAGGCTCGTGATGTTCATAATGTTCATAATGTCCGAGATGACCGTGATCAACTGCTCCACCATAGCTGTCATATCCATGCACGCCAAACTGATGCACGTCATCGTGTTGCACTACTGCGGCATAACTGGAGGCATGGCCGTGTGGAATATATCCTGCTGAAGCAGCGCCGAAGAGCGCAAAAGCGGCTATGGTAACGCACGATATGAGCTGCATTATTAGTAAATTAGGTGTGTTTTTTTTTTTTTTTGAGAATTACTATCTAAATCCTAAGTTATTGTAAAGCGTTAAGCACTTTGCTGACAGGCGAACTCGTACTGATGCCAAATGCCTATCCATATTAACTATTTATACCCGTCATCGAGTTAAATCGATTATTAGTTTACTGTTCTGCAAATGAGTCAGTCATAAGCCACTCACTTTAAAAGTGTGTACATATGTGTGTATGCGTGTATTGTGGCAGTTGGCGTACACGAATGTATGTATTTAGTTAATTTTTGAATTTTTTTCATATCTGGACAAAAGTTTTTACACCATTTCGTAAAACAAAGGAGAATATGTTTAATTAATTAGCTCGAATGCTATTTAAGCCAAAAGTGCGATTTGTAACATTCTTAGTTATGAGTTTGTGAACCAATTCGCTAATAGAGCAAATAAATTAAGAAACGAAAGTCACAATCAAATTCACGCCAGTTATTAACTAATCGAATGGCTCAAGGTTACCTCGCACATTCCGGAGGTATGTAAAGTACGGCCAATGCAAATGTTGGCAATACCCAACTGACTGGGCTATACATTGGACAAGAACACATTCATAAGTAATATAGAAACACAAATATATGTACATACATACATGCATATAATTTAATTATTAATTTTTGCTGCACTCACCCAAGGAAGAATAGTACATTTTAATTTTTGATTGGGAAGGTGTGCCACATAAAAAGAGGCGTGACCAATTAAGATACCATTTTTCGGATTATAATGACTACAAAAATTAATTAGGACCTTTCTATATTAAGACATCCTAGTGTTTTAGTACGTTGTGAATCTGCTTATCTAATGGCGTTTCCGTTTCTTCAAAAAATTTTGCCTTCACAGTGCCATCTTCTAAATACTTATTTTGTGCGTAAAGGGCAAATAAAAGTTCAAAATTCTTCGGTAGTAACGAAAACGCCATAAGTTCCTAGATGCATATGTTTAGGGCGGATCGCGTAAAGAAGTTGTTAACTATCACCCACTATCAACCAACTCCTGATGGTATAGAAATGGCATAGAATTCTTTGAAAACCACTATTTTTCGATCGGAAAATTCTGGTTCTCTTCAGCAGACTTTCAATAATAATACCCAATTATTTATTTAACCATTTTTCAATACTTACGATTTTTTATTGGTCGCCCTTTTGCATTTTTCGGGGTTTTTATGGGTTTTTGGCGGACCTATGTATAACTTATAGTTGCGATGAAAAACAGAGTTTTTCGATAGAAAAATATTGATTTTTAAGAATTCACTTCTACGAAAAGTTGTTTTTCCCCCATATTAAATATTTTTTGACGTACATATATACAGCGGAGTAAAAAATAATAGAAACTTTTTATTTTGACAAGTGTAAAATTTCACATGCAAAATTTCGATTATTCAAAACGATGATTAATCGAGTTACTTACAATATGGTTACTCAAAAGAATAAATTTGGCTCGTTAAAAGAGTTTGCTTTTAAAAATACTTATTTTCTTTTTAACAATCCGTATATGAAAAATATATTTCATTTTAATTTAAAAAAAAGAGAAACGTTGTTTTCATAGTACCAAGGAACTTCAACTACTTGATATGTAAAGAGTACTTTGAAATGTTGATTACTCATTTTACTTATAATGTTCTTGTTTTTCGTTTATCAAATTCTTGATTACTCGAGTAACTGAACTTTTGAGTAACCGTAATATCCAATTAATCGAATAATTGATTATTTACTTTGCGATTAATTAAAATTTTGAATATTCAATTAATCGCACAGCCCTAACGTGTATAGTTTTCATTACAAAAACGACTTTATTTTAATTGAAGAATTATGAAAATTAAACAAAGAAAAATAGCCCAGAAAAAAGCATTGTCCCAATTCAAGTGCTTCGGGTGCATAGATGTATACATAATGCATGATTTTGCGTAGGCACATAAAATACACAAATATGAAGTAAAGTTTCCAAAGAATCTCCTCGATTTTTACACCATATTGCTTTGTGAAAAAATGGAATGTTTTCAGGAGTGATAAAAAAATTAAGTTTAGCATAAGAAAATATCCAGTAGTATTTTAGGGATGTTAATTAAGCTGAGGCGAAAATTAACGGAATATACAAAAATATAGCATAGGACATATGTACTTCAATTCTCATATAAAAATTTGCTACCGCTAATTTCTTCATGATTCAATGATCGGATCTAAACCAAATTAAGAGCAGCAGGGACTACCTCTGAGGTACCACCCCTTTCCTTTAAAATATGAATTACTAAAATCGGGTGAAGTGGTCCAAAGTTATGCGGTTACATACATAAAAAAATCCGACGAATTGATAACCTCCTCCTTTTTTTTAAAGTCAGCTAAAAATACGTAATTTTTGATTGGCTCTAAAAGTATATCACACACTCATTGAATACAGTACGATAAAAGTCATTCGTTGGGTGTTGACATTTCTTCTAGCGGATATTCTTGCCGCCCAAGATTTTATTTCGGCTTATCACAGTCGATTAACTCATCACTCTACAGCTTGCTCACTCATCCTGAAATCAGCGACCGTTAAGCCAACAAAGCAATCAGCAAGGACTAAAGCCACCCAGCAAGCAATGAAAGCGATTACGACAAGGGAATCTAATATCTATTTAATTATTTATTTTTATTATTTTCGAATATGTACATATAACACTATGAAGGTTCTGTAGTGACATTGGGATTATCTGTAGATGTATATAGTAGGCTTGTTATGATTAGAGTTGATATTATTTCAAAATTACATAAATACGTTCATACATATGATAGATTGGCGCTTACACTAATTGTTAGTATTTGACCGAGCTTCTCCTTCGATTTGTGGCGTTCACCTTGGTGTTCTCACACAAAGGGGGGACCTGCATATTACCGCCGACTCCGAACGGCGATTGTACTTTTATGGCATAAATACACTCGGAGGGTTGTCATTGCCTGCCAAGGGGCGACCGCCATTAGAATAGACTTTTTTATTTTTTTTTTGTTGGTGTTGGCTTGAACCGGGCTTGAACTCAGACCCTGCGGAATGGTAGCATGCATTTCTAACCACCACACCACAGCGACCGACAATCTATTTACATACGTAGATGTTAAATGATAAATACTTTTTATTTTTGTAATAGATAAGTATTTATATGTGCATATAAACACATTAACTTAATAAATATTTTAATTTTTCTCTCCGTTCAGCAATCCCTTTCCATTACTACATTTTTCCCTCCCGCATTAAAACCATTATTCAATCTATCGCATATTCAATTCATTTAATGCTTAAGACAAATTATTTTTTTTTTTTTTATATCACTGCCTTTCTTCAACTACAGTCATGCCTTTTCAACTCTTTTGTTTACCTGCCTTTGTGGATTACTTTTTGTTGAAAACAAAAGCTCTATTGATTTTCGTTTAGATGTTGACTAAGTCTATGAAGTGTTAAATGATTTTTGGCCAAATAGGTTTGCCTGTGAACACTCACATGTATGTAAATACATACAGGTTGCTTGCACAATGGCAAAAAAAGCAAGTAAAGAAAAAGTATAAACTCGGGCGAAAACGAACTTTTTATACCCGGCGCACGTATTAAATAGCGTTTTCTTTTACCTTTCTGTAAACTTCATTATAAGCAAGCTTATCTATAAATATAAAAAAATTGTAACATTGTCTGTACATTATACATATTAAAGAAAAATTTACGTGGGGGGTCTTTATTAGAGCACCAGAAGCCAAATCAACCATTTTTATAATATTTGTCTGTCTGTCTGTACGTATGTTTGCACGCGCATCACTCGAAAACGAACGCATGTATTTTAATGCAGTTTTCATCGATGTATTGCTAGAGGTCTAACTTAAGATATAGAAAGAAAAAAGTTAGAGAGTTGCCACCTATTTGAAAATTGCAGTTTAAGTTAATTGATAAGAAAAAGTGAATATTGCAATATGGCCGTCAAAAGAAAGAGGCTTAAGAAGGCTTACAGCCAAAAATATTTTTTTAGAGTTGCCACCTATTTGAAAATTTTAATTTAATTTAATTTAATTTGTAATATAAATTTAAATTTGCAATATGGGTATCAAACTGAAGATGTTTAGGAAATTTTACGTCCGAAAATATTTTTAGGGAAGGTTGCCACCTGTTTGGAAAATTGTATTGTGTTAAATTGATAAAATAAATGAAATCTATATCTAAAAGTACTTATAATAAAATTGTAACAGGCCGATGTCTGTACCTTATAGATATTAAAGAAAAATTTATATGGTGGGGTTTTATTAGAGCTACAGAAGCCAAATAAACAATTTGTAGAATTTTTGAACCAATCGCACTTTTTTAGAGCTTCTGTGTGGACGGTTTTTTGCTAAAAAAATCAAAACTGTTTGTTGTTGCTGCCAAAAATTTAAGAAATCTGAGACGTCACGTTTTACAATTTCATACAGTTCTCTGTACAATGTATTTCATTATACCACTAAACGGCTGCACCGATTTGGTTCATATTTCCACAAAGAATGGAGCTTTGATTTTTCCAGTTTCACTATAGACTGTCCTATCTACATACCTGTTTGCATAAATAGATAGTCCTTTTCGTTGTTCGGACTAAATTCAAAAACCACTGAATAGAGTTCCATCAGATTGTCGGAGGTTATCTTACATACATATATGGTCCTATTCCATTCTACAAGAAAACTCGCTAGGTGGTGCTGGAGTAGAGTTATTTATAAAAATCGTAATTTTAAATGTGAGCTATGTATCTGTGTGATGGAAAATTCTTTTGATAAAAATTGACCCGATGAGTGCCGCTAAAGTCGAGGTTGAAATTCGTAACATGTATTTACTTTATGGTAAGCAGGTTTTCAGAAAATGAACCCAATTGATGGCGCTGCAGCGGAAATGTATAGAAACCCCGTGCGGTTGGTTTGCTTTGGACCAATATTTAAGGTATACGAATTTAGTTTTCAGATGTCTAAATGAAGGACGGGGCGAAGTTTGCCAGACGCCCTCATGTATGATCATGCGATCTTGCATCTAACTAGAAATCACTTCATAAATATTACCACGAATTGTAAAAGAGGCGAATTAACAAGGAAAGATCTCAGTAGGTATATCAATTGCTTCATTTGAAAGATATTCAAGAGATCACACGAATCATTTAGCCAATGTACCTGAAAAATTTTCATCATGTGAGATAGCGAGTATTCTTGGTTCTCCTATAACAGAAAACTCACTTCTGTGCTCTTGAGGTTCCTTATAAGAGCTTGTATTGGCATACGCATCGCACCAATGTTGCAGTTGCAAGATCATAGAAAAATATTACGCATGCTTGGCAGAGATCTCACAGCCAGCACATTGAAGCCAAAATCATTCGTTTTGTATATGAATAAAGCCCTTCTGATTCATGCAGCCCTCTAGTTCGTACTGAGTTTGATGCGAGTTGGTAAAACGGCAACCGAGGTACGGTATTTCATTTCATTTTTATAAGTAGGCGGTGCGACGCCCGTTTTGAAAAAATTGTATTATCGTCGAATTTTATGCCAAAATTTTAATTTCGATTCCAACATTTAACAATTTGAATTCAGTATATGCGGAAATGACGTAGTTTTTGAATCTTTCGGAAATACCGTTATATGAGATGTGGGCCTGGTTACAGTACAATTTCGACCATTTGTACACCCGAGCGCACTTGTGCACAAGGGTATTATAACTTTGTTCACATAACGGTTGTTTGTAACAGGCAAAACGAATCCAGATAGATATAGAGAAATGTATACATAAATGATCCGAGTGAAAAGAGAAATCGATTAAGCGGTGACTGTCCGTCCGTCCGTCTGTGCACACGATAACTCGAGTAAAAATTGAGATATCGTAACGAAACTTGGTTTTTTATTTATTTATTAATATTATTATTTTCAAGCTGAAATATGTGTTCGCGCCCAACCCATTGATAATGTTCTTTATCAAAATTAAAATAGTAAAAATATTTCGTTTTAAAACAATTGCTTATTTATTTGGATGATATTTATTTAATTTTTACAAGGACGAGCTCTAAAAATATACATATTCGGAAATGAACGTAATGAGGTGAATACAACATTTTATATACTATAGATGAGCGAGTTGTAGCTTAATAATAAAATGTATTTATGTTGCTCTACAGCCAACTGCAGTTCTATTTTCATTCCGCTTCAAATCTACGATCACAGGTTGCTACTCAATTAATGGTGTTCTTTGATTTCCACATAACTGCTGGCATGTCCAAGGGGATAATGTCCATGGCCCTCATAACCATAGCCTTCTTGGTTGTAATGCACGTGAGGGTGGTGCGCATGTCCGATCTTCTTTACGACGGCGTTGAAGCCATTATGATCATCGGCTGTGTATTCCACGACGCGGGTAGTGCCATCGGCTTCGGCCAGTGTGTAGCCGCCTAATTGGGAGGAGAGCTATTGTTTAGGAAACTTACAGCCGATTTTTCTGCTTTTAATTTACTCACCCTTAACCTTATCGCCGTCACGCTGTTCCCATTGACTCTTGTGATCGCCAGTATGTGCGTCCTTAACACCATAATCGAAAGCGTATTTGGGGTAGTGATGTGGTTCGTGGTGTTCATAGTGATCATATCCATTGCCAGTGTAGGCCACTACATTAACAGGTGCTAAGTAAGCGCCGTGGTGTGGTGCAACGGCAGATTGCACCGCGGCGTAGCTATTAGCGTGGTCATATGGAATATATCCTGCGTAAGCCAGGCTGAAAAGTGTAAAAGACACAACAGAAATACTGGAAAGCGACTGCATTTTGGTATGAAAACTTCCTTTAAAACTGGATTGATATAAGTAGGTATTTGTCTCTGAAAGAGGTCGAACTGAATTCATACTCACTGAAATACTGAACTAAGTTTTTATACTAAAATCCGACTCACAATGTGCAGACTAAGAATACGAATATGTTGGCCACTCTATTATGTATATATGTACATACATAGGTTAATGCATAAATAAATATAAAAAAAAAAACAGAAACATCAGTTTAACACCTTGTTTGCTATTTGGTTCCGTGGAATATGAATGACGTAGCAGAAGTGCCCATGGCTTTGGAATTCGAACCAAAGAAAAAATGCTGTTGTCAATCAAATTATTCAGAACGTGATAATAACTTATTAACACTCACATATTGTGTTTGAAATTAAAACTGCTCGAAAAACTCATAAATTAAAGCAATTTTAATTTCTATAAAAAACTAATAATCGCCTGGAGTTTTTACCATCGAAGCAAAGAAGCTAAACAACTAAGTGAAGCGTAACGAATTGGCGTGTAAAATAGCAACATGAAAAACACTGCCTTTTAGTCTAAACGTATACATATTGCTTAAAGGGAAGCGGAGAGGGTTCTATGTACATGCTTAGGCTTAGTTTTTGCCTTCTGCTTGACGGGCCATTTGCCGCTGGAAATTCGAGCAATGACCTTGCGACTACCCAATCGATTGTCGATCAGCACAGGTACTAAGGCGAATTGTAATTGTATGGATTTGTATTATTGCTTTGATGGCTTGCATATTAGAAAATTAGTAAAACAAAAAATTAGCTGCAGACGTGTTAAATGTGGTGGGGCGTTATGTGAAAGGTAGTAAATACTACGGATACAGTACACTTGCAGCAAAAAAATGATGTATGTATATACTACACATATACATTTTCATTCTTGCATACAATTTTTTTTAATTACATATTGCGTGTTTTATAACACAAAGTTTCATTGTACCGCCTTTTGTTCATACCATACCAATCCCTGCTACTGAGCAAAGTTTTGCATTCTTAAAATTAGAAGCCCATAGTCAAAATGCTGCTAACGTAAAGGCGAACGAACAAGCCCGTTTTGGTATAAATAGATCGCATACAAATTGAATTAGTATCAGTTCGGTATATTCTCACCATAGATTTACACGTAGTCACTCCACATTCAATTAAAAATTTCCTATCGTAACAATTATGCAGCTGCTTTCCGGTCTCGCTATTATCGCTGTTGCGTCCTTCAGTATGGCTTACGCAGGATACATACCGCACGGACACGCTACCAGCTATGCTTCGGTGGTGCAGCAGGAAGTTGTGCCTCATCACGCCGCCTACTTGGCTCCAGTTAACCTGGTGGCCTACAGTGGCCATGGACACGATCACTACGAACATCACGAGCCACATCACTACCCCAAATATGCTTTCGATTATGGCGTTAAGGACGCACATACTGGCGATCACAAGAGCCAATGGGAACAGCGTGACGGCGATAAGGTTAAGGGTGAGTAAATGAAAGTAGAAAAATCGGCTGCAAGTCTCCTTAACAATAGCTCTCCTGCCAATCAGGTGGCTACACTCTGGCCGAAGCTGATGGCACTACCCGCGTCGTGGAATACACAGCCGATGATCATAATGGCTTCAACGCAGTCGTAAAGAAGATCGGCCATGCGCACCATCCTCAAGTGTATTATCATAAAGAAGCCTATGGATATGATGGTCACGGACACTATCCTCTTGGACATTAAAGTCCCCAGTGCCGGAAAAACCAAGGAAACACATTACTGAAACTTTTCGATGAACAGCGATTTGTAAGATGTAAGTACCTGTTATCACTCAGTGAATATGGAGTGACATTTGTGATTTGAAACCCCCAGTTGTAAAAAAAAAATTATTAAAAAAACTAGATTTATAAACATTGCAATAAACGTGTGTTTTACTTGTTGAGCCTGGATTATGGTTAAAAAAAAAAAACTGTCTCATGAAATAAAAGGACTTGATAAGTTTTAGCGCTTAGATGTAAAATCCGCCTCAGCTTTTTAGCGATTTGTTTGCAAGCACGCCGTGCATTATTAAATTTTGGTCAAAGTACCCAGACCGGGGACAGCGATATTTACAAAGCGGTTGTGCTTGGTTGTGACCCTGCAGGAAATGGGACTAGTTTGTATCTAACTATTGACTAAGTAGCAATCGACTAGTGGTCAACTAACTTGTAGCTAACTACTTTTGCACATAAACTATTAATAAAAAAAGACTTTTTAAATTCTTTGTGTTTTTATTTATTTACAGATTTTTTTTAAAATTACATATTTGCTTATTTGTTTACATGTACTTTTGTAGGTGGTCTCATACTTGAATTCTATCAGACATAACATCAAAATAATAATGTCAAATTTCGACCTTTATTTTACTTGTCCTAAGTACGAAAAAGAATTTGCGAAGTGCAGAAAAAAAGTTCATTGAAAGTAATTTTTTAGAGAATATTTCAATAGAAACTTGCAAAGAAACCAAACCCCCGATAACGTCTGCATGACTCCTGCACGACTTAAAGTTAGTTTTGTCATAGCTAATCAAAAGTTAGTTATTTATCGCAATCCCGAAAAAAAGCTGGCTAGAAGTTGGTTATTTTAATCAATTGATACTTTTTTTTCTGCAGGGGAGCAACTGAATAGTATATAAAAACATTTGCTGTGCTATTTAAGGTTAAAAGCAATAGCTAGCGATAAATTAAGCAAGCGCTTTAATGTTTCTAGTTGAAACCAAACAAAAAAAAAACACGCAAAAAAAACCAGCTGCTACAGAAAAACGACAAAATTATTAGAAACGTAGCCACCAAATGGAGAGTAATAATTCAATCATTGGTGCACCGCTTGACAGTTGTTGAATAAAGGAAGGCGTTGGTCCGTTGTAGGTTGGTTGATTTGCTGCTTCGTCGGACGCGAAAGGAAAGCAGTGAAAGTGAAAACCAACTGAATATCACTAACAATTAGGGATGTCGGAAAATAATGCATCGAATTGCCATTTCAGTTTTTCAATAATGCAAAAAAGAGAAGTGAGTTTGGCCAAAAATTTGAAATGGCTCTAAAAAGTTCCGTTAGAAACGTAATTAGCTCAATTACAGTAATCAATTTGAAATTTTGTACAATTTTGCTTATAACATATTTCGCTACTGACATCCCTACGAAACACCTGCACTTTAATGTGGGTATCACTTAGCCGATGTGAGAAATGTGTATTGAAGGTGAGTTCTACCTGCTACGAAGAAATAAAACACCGCCTTAGTCGTCGTTCTGTGCGTCCAAACTAGCGTTGGTGTAATTGAGGTTAAGGTCCTTTTTGGCGCGACCTTCTTTTGCTATTTGGACTGCTGTTTGGCGAGCTAACAAATGGTAATATGAAGCGACATGCCACATAATGTAATTGTATGTACATGCTGGCTTTATGTGTCTATGTTTGATTCGAATGTACATATGTATGTATATATGTATATTACGGTAATTCTTAAATTATCAACATATAAACTGTGTATGTGGCACCCCTTTATTTTATTATACGTACAAATAGAGACATCCAGGAAATTTTCAAATATTTTACCAGGGTTTGAAAAAATTTATTTTGCAAAAAATGTCTGTTTTTGCATATTAATTGCGGATATTTTAGCATATTTTACAACAAAATCATGTAGTTTTTGCATATTTTTGCCTTTTTTATTTACAACCATTTAAATTTAGTGTGAAATCTCTTGCTAAAAAAATCCCAATAATTTTGTTCGTAAATATTCGTCTGAATAACTTCTCGGACAGCCAAGCGGCCATTGAGGTACTCTCCTCTACTTTTGTTTGATCTCAACTAGTGGAAGAGTGTAAGAGAGAGCTAATATGGTTCCTGGCACATAGGGACATTTACATGGGCGCTTCGCTCAGGGAGATAAAGTTATGAGCTAGATTTTTATAAAAAAAAAAAATTATAAACATTTTATAGACAAGAGAAAAATAGCCAAAACTGGTCAAAATGTCACTTAACTTAATTAGCTGACCACAATGGTATAACTGATCAAAATAAAAATTTTGTCGAATTTTTGAGGTAAAAAAAAAAATCTATTTTTTTATACCCTGCCAGATACTCCAAAACTTTTTGTTTAATTTTGAAATTTTAGTGTATTGTTCTGTTGTGTATAAAACATTATGTTAATATTAATATTTTTAAGAGTCACCCTAATGTACATACTATGTGAAAACTTCTTGAAGGTTTTCTTTGCTTTAGCTTCATTTTAAATTTGAAAAATACCACAAATTCTCGCAAAGTCTCTGCTCATTTGAGGGTTTGGTCAGCGGCAAAACGTCTTCGTTTGCTCTCTTTTTGCTGTTTTTCTCTAATTCAATTTAATGTTACTTGTTCTTATTTTTTTGTGTTTCGTTTTGGGTTATTGAGGGTTAATTAAGGGCATTCATTTATATATTTACTGAAACATAAATATATTTTAAAAATTAACCGTGCGCGCCAGTAAATTGTTGTATGAGAATTCGCACATAAGATATAGATGTATAAATGCTGAAATGTTTTTTTTTTGTACGGTTATTGCACATCTTTAGCTAGCGCTTGGTATTGAACAAAAAACATCAAGCAAGTTTGACAGGTATAAATTCACAGACAGAGAACTGTTGACGTTATGCAAGCTTTGTGGCTTTCTGTGTACACCAAGTTTGGACGATGGTTATACTTTTTTCAATTAAGTTTTAAGTTATTAACCTTATAGTGCGTTCACACAGAAAGCCCAGTCTTGCCTAGGGCAGAAAAGCGGAGGGAAGCGAAGCGGACCTACAGGTGTTCGCACTGAACGAGGCGTAGCGAAGCTTTTCTCATGGACTCGGCTGCAAAGATACCAGAAAACCGACCGTCAGTGAAAAGCAGCAAAAATATTTACTCAATTTTTTTCAAAAGATTAGTTAAGTAGTTCGTTTTCATTTTAATATTTTGATATCTTCTTTGCAGCAGCGTTATGAAGCGGAA